TTAGAGAAATTTCGAAAAATTTTACGGAAATTGTACGAATTATAAATATTTTTAACAAAAATCTAAAAATTTCCAAACAATTTCCCTTTCATGTTTTGCAATATAAAAAGAAAATTAATGTTTCTCTAAGAAATATTTCTACATTTCAAATGTTTTTCTACAATGTCGTTTAATAAAAATATAAAAATTTATTAAAATTATAGCCGAATAAAACTACAAAAAACTAAATTTTGATAAAATTTTTGCCCAAAAATTAAGGAAGCAAAAGAATAGTAACACTTTTTGTCAATGAAATGAAATTAACAAAAATGAAGTTTTTAGCAGACATATTTATGTACTTCAATAAAATCCTTCATTTTTGTTAAAAAAGGATAACTAACTCTACTTATTTGTACTTAAATCTATTTATTAAAAATCTAAAATATTTATACATTTCTTTAAAAATATTGAAGAAAAAAGATATGGTACAGCAAGACAGAGCATATTACAAACACATTTGAATACGTTTTCATTTCATAATAACGGGATTTTTTTTTAATTACAATTAGCAACAATAATTAACACTCACAGAAAATAAGCCGTAATTTACAGAAGGAATTTGATTTATTTTTAATAAATTATAACTATTTTAATACATAATAAATGTTAGTTTATTAAGGAAAATTCCAGCAGAAAGTTGGGATAAAAGCGGTTGTTAGAAAGAAATAGTACTTTTTGTAAAAATGTCATAAATTCTAAGTACTTTTTGGGAGAAAAAAGTTTTTATTAGAATTTTGGTTTTTAAAAAGTTTTTAAAAAGTACTTTTCTTAGTTTGAAGCATATTTTCCTTTCAAAAAATCAAGTTTTTATGAAAATTGACTTTTTTGGTATTAAATGATTCAAAAGTACTTTTCTTACTGCTACATAAATAGAACACAATTACAAGAATTTAGTAGTAAATTTAACAACAAAAAAGTACTTTCTTAATGTATCAAGAATATTTTATTAAAATTTATAAATTTCTCTAAAAATATTGGGTGTATAAGTTAAAAATGCGGGATTCACAGCAGCTGATGTGCGTAATCTTTTAAACGAGATGATTTGTGCGGATTACGACCAGCCAAACGAGTTTATAAGGGCTTTACTCCATGATTATTATTGTCAAATTCAACAAGAGAATGCAAAATGGCGTTTCCCCGACAAAGAAACTGTTACAACAACAACATCCTAAAGCAAGGAAATTGGGTACCATTCAAAGACTGAAGACTGATAATAACGGGCTGCCTAAAAATTACCTGGGAACATCACCTACACGAGTAAACGTAGGTCCTCCCAGTCAAGGAACATAATGTCATGTTGACTATACAGTTCCTCCTGGGATGTCTTCGGAGCAGTCATCCCAGCTTTAACATCACACAGTTGGATGTTCACCCGAGGCATGTCAGGAAGGATCTTCGTACATATAAGTAGAACATACGCAGTTCTTATATAAGGTAGCTTTGAATGACTTTCATAGAGACACCATCAATTCCACGGTCGCAACATGGAAAACATGAATAGTTCTGGCACAACTAAAATAGGGATGGAGCAACAGGCTTAATGCCTACTGGTCACGCATAGACCGTGCCGTCCCCAACTAATGTCCAGCATGTGGTCAAGGTCCACATGACAGTTCTGCCAACTCTTCTTCACTTTGTCAAATGGATTTATGGACACATTCAGTTGAAGTAGCACAATTGGCCTGGACATTGATGTAGAACCCTCAACTAGATTATTGTATAGTTTTAGCTGTTACAACAACAACAACAACACCAAACCAAGTATTAATGACACTTAGCTAATGCTCTGCATTTGTGGGAAACAAAAAGGTCCTATCTATTATGAATCTGACCAGACCCTATCACAGAGAACCTGTACCGAATGCAATTGATTTCTTTGAAGAGATAATTGGGCGAAAAAAGTCCAAGCTGCCAGCCAAGGAAAGAGTTATGTACAATACCTCCTAAAAACTATTCAGAAAGAAGGGAAGTTTTGCCTTTCTCATCTTATAGTAAAGACCTTGCTTTGTTCTACTACTATTTGTTTCAATCGCTTTTCCGGAATACTTTTCACTTCAGAACAAAGTATCCGAAATTGTCTTGATTAGTTCTTGGCCTTTAAAGATGAGCCGTGGAAATCATATATTGCCGTAGAGATAGAAAAGGTTCATAGCTAACAAAGGCCCATACTTTGAATACATTTAAAATAACTGCATTTTTAAATTATAAACCCAATAATGTAATATTGAAAAATGCTTTTGCTAAAATAAATAATTCTAGAACTATGAACATTTCTTTAAGAACTCTTAAAGACAGAATTTGGTCCCTATAAAAGCCACTAAATTTAAGACTATCCTTTTTTGTTACTGTTAAAGAAAGAGGGAGAATTAATTCAACAATGTTAAACAAAAAGTTGCTCTATAACTACGCCTTTATTGTTAAGAATAGTAAGAAAGGAACCCAATTTTTATAAAACTATAATAGAAACAGGGGAAAATTAGTATTAAAAGTAAAGAAATTATTTGATGCTAACAAATTGATCTGACTTTTAAATCTGATTTCAACTTATCACCATCAAATCATAAATTGTTAGTCAAGAAAAAGAGAAAAAGTTTCAATTAAAGCCAACAACCCTTTTTACTAAAAGTTTTTTCTATGTGAGTGTATTTTTAATGCGTGCTTTTTTTACAGTCTGATTACGCGTTTTATTTTAAGATCAATTAATCAATTTATCAATTAACTACATCCGTGCAGTTTTTTGTTTTTTTTTTTTTTAGAAGAGGGGGAAAAAGTTGTCTTCAAATAAGTGCGTGTGTTTGTAGCTATTTGTTTACCATACCTTTTGCATTCCTACCTCGTGGCACCAAATTATGGAGACCACTATGATCCCGGCTAATTTTTTGTATTTCACCATCTTCGGTGGGTGTTATTAGATCCCAAATGAATGTTTTTATCTTCTCATCACCCTTGTAGACTTGCAAGCAATAGAGTAGCTGTTGGAAAAGAAAGATTTTTAAAATTCAAATTAAATAAATACGATTTTAAGGAAATTTTCTTTAAATTAAGTTACTCAATTAAAGAAAAGGGTGTAATTGTAGCGTTAAGCTAACTTCATGGTAAATACATACATTTGTAGTTATTGCAAATGTAGTAAATTTAACAAATTTGTACAAAATTAAAATAAATATGCATTAAGATTTATTGTCAAAAACTGTTTAAAAACCAAATTTATAAAAACGTAATTTGCTACCGATTGAGTTGAGTAGCAAGAGAAGCTTATTTGCTACTCTTGCAAATATACCATGAAGCATGTTTTCCGCTTTTGAAAACATTTAGCAAGAGTTTGAAAAATATGAAATTTTTAACTTGATTTGTTATAAAAGACGTTACAGCAAAAATTTTGACAAAACTGTGAGTTGCTACAGTCAGGTCAATAGCACATTTGCTAATCTTGCAAATATACTATGAAGAAAGTTTTCTGTTTATATTGGCGCATTTTCAAAACTTAATACTAAATTTTGTAATTGATTTGTTATCAAAGACGTTCGAGCAAACTGTGAGTTATTACAGCTCTTGCTTGATCAGTAGCACATTTGCTATTCTTGCAAATATACCACGAAGAAAGTTTTCTATTTAAATTATCATCTTTTAAAAACTTTATATTAAATCTTAAAGATGAATTGTTATCATAGACGTTTTAGGAAAAAAAAAATTGACAAAATTTTGAGTTTTTATAGCTTTTGGGTTGATCAGTAGCATATTTACTACACTTGCAAATATACTACGAAGAAAGTTTTCCATGTAAATTATAATTTTTTCAAAATTTAATATTAAATTTTAGAGATGATTTGTTATCAAAGGTATTTTTGCAAAAAATGTTAAAAAAGTGTGAGTTGCTGCAGCTTTTGGTAGATAAGTAGCATATTTACTATACTTGCAAATATACTACAAAGAAAATTTTTCATTTAAATGATCAAAACTTTAAGTTTCAAAATTTTATATTAAATTTTAAAGCTGATTTGTTGTCAAAAACGTTTCAGCAATAACTTTTACCAAATTATAAGTTTCTTTAGCTCTTGGTTGATCAGTGGCATATTTACTACTCTTGCAAATAAACCACAAAGAAAGTCGTCTATTTTAATTATCACTTTTTCAACATCATTACTAAATGTTTATAATCTTATTAAACCCTTTTCTTTTTATCTATTCCAATAAATCAGTTTTAAGCGAGAAGTTCTTGTTGTTGTGCTCAGCGAAAACCTATAGTTTCCTCAACATTAGCATGGTAATCATCATTTTTTGTTGGAAAAGTAGGTACATTTTAATAGAAATAAAACAAAAGCTTTAATATGCCTTTATTGTTGTTTCCTTTGAGAATTGAAGAACTTTTAATACTTACAATTATTCGGGCACAATCTTCAACATCAATTTCACGCCAACCGCGTTTAAATTGACCCAATTCCAAGATTTCTGGCCAACGTCCCCAGCTGTAAAAAAGGAAGAGAAGAAATATTTAAATCCTTGAAAAAGAAATTTAATTTTATTTTAAAATTTTTATAGTTTTTCAATCAGTTTAAGTGAGAAGTATTGTTTTACTCAGCGAAAACCTAAAGTTTTCTCAATATTAGCATGGTTGATCATCATTTTAACGGAAAACAAATCCAAAAAGTATAAATAACGAATAATAAAAAAGATCCCCTGGTACATTTTTGTAATTCTAAAGTTCTACAAAATCGTTTTCTTAGAACCCGTTCTTTGGCATTACTTTTACATTCGTTGTACACTATTTGAATGGAACGCAGCTTAATGACTCCAAAATATGAACCTATTTTGTTTATACATATATTTCCAGTATCTTTGAAATTTCCGCACTGTGTAACGTTTAAACTAGACGTCGCCTTTCTCATTGTGTTTATACAAGAATTCTAGTTTTTAAAATTGTTTTAAAGTTTCTTGACATTATAAATAATTAAAAATTGGAAAGCAAACAAACCCAAAAAAAACTATATTTTCTATCACCATATTATCAATCAAACATGTCCAGTTCTATAACCTCCAAATCTTCAAACTTTACCGGACACACTAGCGGAACTTTTGCCACGCCCACACGCAAACAACTTCAGCCCTTAACCAGCAATGATATTGCTAGTAATGAATTAGCATTGGAAAATTTCATTAATAGTCTAGAACTTTCCACATTCTTCCAATTACCCGAAGACGAACAAAAGTTACGTTTGGATAAATTGGATGTTTTGGAACTTTACCAGGCGGCACAAAATATAAATCGTGAATTTGGCATGATTAAATTGGAGAATTTCTTTCTTATAGATTTTCTAGAGAAAAATGATCCCAAACTTTTAATAGGTTTGGAACAGCGACGTGCTACCGCACAAACGGCAGCACAGATTAATGTTTTAAAAACGGGTGCTAAAAGAACGAGTAATATATCAGTGGGTGGTGGTGTTAGTGGTACTGGTGGCGGTAGTGGTAGTTTAGTGGGTTTCAAGGCGAAAAGTGTTTTATCAAAATCTTTAATGTCTGTACTTACAACGGGATCGCTAAAGAAGACTCATGAATACAAATTAAATTTTCGTGCTAAGACTGATATGGCCGAGAAACTAGCGAATGAGGTGGAGAAACGAGTGCAGGAAATGGAAAAGAATGGTAAGAATAAGGGGGAACTTTGTGGGCAATAGCAAGGGCCAACAAAGTTTAAAAAAAAGTAGAAACACAGAGGTCAAAGTATTTAGGAAGACATTTCGAAGAAGGAAGGAGTTACATTAGAGGTTAAACCTTTATTTTCAGATGACATAACAGATATTATAAATAAAGGCGCCTTTGCGCCTCAAATATGGCCAAAAACGGGGTTTTCACTCGAAAATCTCAGATTCAGAGAATATATACTTTGGTCTCTGGGTAAAAAAAATTCTTGGCCTATGTAATTAATTGTAATTATCTGGGATTTTTTCCGCTTAAATTGTTAAAAACGAATTGGATTTGTTAGGAATATAGAAGAACGATTCGTAGGACCATAGAACAAAACCACATGTCCCTGGTCCTTCAAATCAACTTTGGAATAACTGTTTATTAACTTTTCCGAAATCTCTTTCAGCTTCCCAGGAAATTAAACTTTTACGTGGTCACATGGCAGAAATGCATTTTCAGCATATCGAAACTCAAGAAACTGCGAAAAATTTCGAATTACATTTTCTTCGTGATGAAAGTGATTTGGCTTTCCTAAGCAATGCCACCGAAAAACAATTGGAGCATAAATTTCGAAAATTTGTTAATAATTGGATTAAGACGGCTCGCGCCTTATTAGCCACCATGCGTTTAAAAATCACTGCTTTACAAGAACATTGCCAGCAATTGCGCAATGAACTTTTAACCAAAGCCGATTTAAGTGGTATTTTAACAGCCATAGATTTTGAGAAATTAATAATAAAACGTACGGAACTCTTAAATGCCTTGGAAGAGAAAAATTCACACATGGCTGGACTGAAAGGTGTAACGGGTAAAGCTTCTCTTTCGATGGCTGAAGAAAAACAAATTATGATGAATATAGAGGAAGAATCTAAACAATTGAATAACAAAACCTTAGAGGTGGTAAAGACTATAGCTAAATTAGAAAAAGAGGCGGAAATAGTGGAAGCAGAGAATGAAAAAGATGTCGCCACATTGGAAAATTTGCGCTTACAATTGGAACGTTATGAGGCGCCCAGTATTAATGAGTATGTACAAAAGAAAGAAGAGGTATTGGCGTTAGAGAAGGAGGAGAAAATGTTGAGAAGAAAAATTTACATCTTAAACATGAAACTGGATAATACACAAAAGAAATGTAAACGTCAAATGGATTCGAGTATTTTTATTAATATAGTAGAAGACTAATTAAAGACTTTTAATAATTTCTTATATTTTTTATGTTTTTAAAAGAATAAACAATTAAAATCTGCGAAACTTACCCAAATGATAATAAACCCTTTTCGACTTTGAAACATTCAGATTTAGCCCAATTGCCATAGTGTATCTCTTCCAGTCCCAAAGCAGCTAAAGCATCTCTTTCTCGGGGTATATACTCATCATTGGCTTTCTTTTCACGACATCTTTCACGTTTTTCCTTGCGTGATCTACGTGTAGAACGTAATCCTATACCACCTTCTTCATCACTATTCTCATTGGAAGAATCTTCTGAATTAAGTTCCATAACATCTTCATGGCCATAACGTTTAATTTGTGTTCTTCTGCGTGGTTCGGACAAAACTAAATCTTCAGTTTCATCTTTTTCCACAGCATCGGGATCAATGTCGGCTTTCTTAGCCCATTTAGTCCAAAAGTCTGGATCATCGATAGTGATATCAGAACGATTACCGGAAGCGGCAAAGGAAGCTTTGGAAAAGGTAGAACCTTTCTCCTGTTCCATGGTAATAACTTGTGTACGTCTCTTTAGTATAGAATCAATATCTTCTTCACAAAACTTATCGCCAGCATTATCATCATCCATAACAGCGCCATAGGCACCCTTTTTCAAAAGATCTTCAATTTCCTTTTTCGACAGCTGTTTATTGCCTCCCTCCTTGGAAGCGTGTGTATTCATAGACTGCAAAACAGCTTTATCAAGACCCAATTTCAAGGAGGCCTTATCAAACATCTCACGTTCATAGGTGTTACGACACAACAAACGATAGATTTTAACCATTTTACGTTGACCAATACGATGGCAACGGGCCTGAGCTTGCAAATCATTTTGAGGATTCCAATCGGAATCATAAATGATAACAGTATCAGCAGCTGTTAAATTAATACCCAAACCACCAGCCTTGGTGCACAGCAAGAAAACGAATCTATCTGAGCCGGGTTTGGAATAACGATCAATAGCTTCTTGTCTCAAATTACCACGTATACGACCATCTATACGTTCAAAGGGATATTTGCGATATATAAGATAATCTTCCAAGATATCAAGACATTTAACCATTTGAGAAAAAATCAATACCCTATGGCCGTTGGCCTTTAATTTGGGCAGCAGTTTGTCTATCAATACCATTTTACCCGAAGAATGTATAATGTTTTTGTAGTAAGACTCAGGATCTTCACCATGCTGATGACGATAATCATATTGGATTTGTTCCTCAGCACCATTGAGAAGATATGGATGTATACAACATTTTCTCAATTCCATCATGGTGTTCATGAGATTGGGTATATTGGCGGAGGTGGTGCCCTTTTTCAAAAAGGCAAAATTTTGTTCCAAAATACCACGATAATATTTCTTTTGTATATTTGTCAGCTCTACCTCTATAATAGTTTCTTCTTTGGGAGCCAAGGATTTCTCAACATCATCCTTTAATCTTCTCAACATCATGGGTTTTAGCAAAGCCTGTAGTTTATTAACTTCTTCCTCAGTTTTTAAACTGCCAAATTCCGCCATAAATTCTTCAGCCGAAGAGAATTGATTAGGTTCGAGGAAATTCAACAAAGAGAACAATTCACTCATGTTATTCTGTAAAGGAGTACCGGATAGCAAGACTCGGTGTTCTAGATTAAGCTGTCGCAAACCATCCAACAGTTTGCAATTACGATTTTTCAATCTGTGAGCCTCATCAATGACACACAAACGCCAATTGAAATTTTTCAAATCCATATGATCCGTCACAATCATTTCAAATGTGGTAATAAGCACATTAAACTTGGTAGGCTCTTTGAGAACTTTGCCACTTTCGGTTTTGAAAAAGAATTCGTAATCCTGAATCATTTGTTTACTGGTTACCGAACCATGATATACCACAATGTTCATATCAGTCCAACTTTCAAATTCACGCTGCCAATTGGGTATAGTGGAGAGGGGTGCTATAACCAGGAAAGGACCCCTAATGCCAAACTCATACACGGAATGGACAAATGTTAAACTTTGTATAGTTTTACCCAAACCCATTTCATCGGCCAATATACAATTGTGTGTGTTATACCAGGAGAATTTCAACCAATTTAAACCCTCCAATTGATAGGGTCTCAAAGTATTACCGCCCTTATAGACAGGCGTCTTATCCAATTTCTTCCATTGATCGGGTGTGGGACGCTTTTTGGGTTTCCACTCTGTACGTGGTGGTATTTTATTAAATCGAACATATTGTTCGATTTTATCATCATCAACATCTTCTTCCAATTCCCAAGTACAGTCTTCATAGGGCAATGACTTCCATTTAACCAAATAATGTTTGGTAGTTTCACCTGTCTGTTCATCGGTGTGCACGGACATGTCTAACACACGATCGACCTCAACAAAGTCCGGATTGAAATATTCCTCCTCGAGATTTTCGAAAACATTCATTTGTTGGGCTTGTTTTTGTTGGAAACGTCTGATTTTGGCTCCTACACGGCGGTCACCCTTGAAAAGTTCTTCTTCCGTGCGCCACTCACAGTGGAGATAAGAGAAATTGCGGTATTTAACTAAGAATTCTTCTACTTCTATATATACAGGTTCTGGTTTAGTTTTATCTTCATCGGGTTTCTTATCATCTTCTGTTTTGTCATCTTTCTTTTCATCTTTAGTTTCTTCTGAGCTTGGCTCTTTGCTTTCCTCTTTTTCAGTTTTATCTTCAGTTGATTTTTTGTCTTCTTCTGTGGTTTCCACTTCCATGGTTTCATCATCCTTAGTGGATTTTTCTTCTTTAGTTTCTTCTTCCTCTTTTTTGTCTTTATTAGAAACATTTTCTTCACTTGTTTCAAGAGATTTACATTCCTCTTTTTCTTTTTCTGTTTCATTCTCACTTTCCTTCTCTTTTTCAACTTCTTCTTCTACTTCCATTTTTTCTTCTTTCTCTTCTTCTGTTTCAGTTTTCTTTTCGTCTGTTTCAACTTCCATTTTATCTTTTAGCTGTTCTTTTGTTTCTTCTTCCTTCTCTTCTGGTTTCTTTTCTTTAGTTTCATCTTTTTCCTCGGAAGCTTCTTTATCCTCACATGTTTTCTCATCTACTTCCATTTTTTCTTCTGTTTCGGATTTTTCATCAGTCTTGTTTTCAGAAATTTCCTTTTCTTCATCAGATTTTTTCTCCTCTTCCTTGCCTTCTTGTTCTGTGGCATTTTTCTCCTCACTTATTCCTTCTTTCTTTTCATCTGTAGAAGTGGCAGTTTCTTCTTTAACTTCTTGAGCTTCCGACTTTTCTTTATCGGTTTCCGTCTTAGTTTCTTTATCTTCATTTTCATCTTTAGTTTCCTTATTTTCCTCTTCGTTTTTGGGTTTCTCTTCTTCCACCTTAGGTTTAGGTGTTGGTGGTCGTGGCGGAGGTTCGGGCAGTAACTCACGTTTACCCATTCTCACTGCCAATACATATTGTACCACCATGCTATCCTCGTCTCCGGTATTGATGTAAACATAATTTGGTTTTGCTGAAGCTGGTGGTGGTGCATCTTGAGATTTTTCACTTTTCTCATTAACAAATGTAGCTGAAGAAGTCGTGCTGGAGGTGGCTTCACCTCCGGGTATATCTTCAGCATTGTTAGATTTATCTTCACTGCTGGTAGTTGGCAATTCTTGACCACCCTCCGTTTGTTGTGAAGAGATTAATTGATCGCCTTTCTCGTTATCACTAGTGTTACCACTAGCAGCTGCTAAAGCAGCCGATGCTGAAGTTGAGGCGGCGGAGGAAGATTTCTTTTCTTTTTTCAGGGGCGAGGAGCCCAACAACGATTCGTTCTCATCGTCTGAGAATCTAAGCATGACATCGTCTATGTACTTTTTACGTTGTGTATTACGCGATGATCTACGCTTGCTGGTGTCCAGTTCATTATCGGGTGGTGGCGATGGCGGCGGTGTGGCCTGAAGATTATCATCTTCACCATCTGATTCGGGCACTATGCGTCCTCTATTACGTCTCTTTTTCAAGGCTTTAGCCGAGAGTTGTCCCCTTCTGCGTCCCGATCTACCCTCACCATCATCACCATGATTACTGCTGGCTCCTCGGCCACGTCTCTTTTTGGTACGTCTGCTGGGAGTGGCCGTGGAATCTCCCGCTGAATCTGGTATGGAGTCAATAGTTTCATCTCCCACTTCATGGTGACCGGCACTATCATCACCTTTGGGTATTTTCGATACTGGTATGTCATCGTAATCGGGAGATTCTCCATCTACCGTCGAACATTTTATATCCACATCCATAGTGGTAGTTTCTGGTTTATTATCACCTTCTGCGTCTGGTTCGGCACCTTCCACTGCTGGAGTTTTTGCCATCAAAGGTTTGTTATCCTCGTTCTCACTACCAGCTTCTGTCGTCAACAAACCAGCCGGTTTATCCGCATCAGCTTCTTCAGCTAGTTTCTTTTTGCGTGCACCTCCTGGCTGACGTTTACGGCCTACAGTGCCGGGCGTAGTTTCGACACCCTCTTGTCCCTCCACCGGTACACCTTTAATCTTCTTCACTTTTGGTGTTCTCTCCTTAGGTGGTTTGTTGGGATCTTTCGGTGTGCGCGGTTTTCTCGGTTTCTTTTTCTTTCCAGTGCCATCGGTGGATGTATCAAGTTCATTGGCCGAATGTACATCCTGGGAATGATCACCACCACTACCTTCATGATACTCCAACATACCGACTACCGAGGTATCTCCTGCTCCTTGGGTAACACAATCTTCCGATACCGGCAGTTGATTGGGCGGTATGGATGTTTGTTGCACTACCACGTTACCACTGATATCCATCAATTCGCTGGTAGGTGCCAAAAGACCCTTCTCACCTTTTTTAACTCTTGGCTTGCGCGGTTTGTTGGTGCCTTTGCCTCTACCCCTGCCAGTAGTGCTCGACACCTGGGGGGTTTCTATCATTTGAGCCTGATGCATGGCTGCGGGTCCATACAGTTGCGGAGGCATGGATTGATATAGCAGACATTGTGGTCCACCCGCACACTGATCGGTGATTTCATGCTGTTGCACTATATTGAGACGTTCTTGCAAACGCATTATTTTCTC